TATAAAATAACTCAAAAAATACTTAATGAAAAAATACTTTATTATAGTGTTTTGAAAACGTCTGGACAAGGGCTACAAGAATATGCAATAAAAAATAGGGGGTTCCATTTAAGAAAACATCGATCACATTGACCTGTCCTTGAAAAGATCGCTTATTAAGGTCAACTCCATATTTTTATCATGTGGTCCCCTTCAAACCATGCAACTTTTGTCTGAAACATTTTTCCATATTTAAAGCCGTTTCCAAGATCCAGGGGTGGGGTCAGACTTTAGAGATACCCTGTATAGATTATATGTTTTATTTGCTGAAAATAATGTTGAAATATGTTGAAAATAATGGCAATTACATAATATAAATGGCAATTACAAAATATAAATAAATAATATATAAAATGAAATAAATAAAAATATGCAATGTCTTGTAAAATTATTATTTTGTTTTTTGATACTACATCTACATGTGTATATATAGGAATATGTATGTGTATATTATAAAATGAAAGCGAGGACTCCGCCTCTCCCAGTGCACCCTCATCCTGAAAAATTCTAATCTAACCCAAACTTATTTTTGATTAAATTAAAGTTAGGTTTGGATTAGGTTACAATTTTTTTTGAGTGCAAAGGAAGGGGCGGAGCCCCTCCCCCGCCCACGCATGTGATTTATTACACATAAATAAATAAATTTGCTAAAGTACGTTCTATTAAATGTACATATTATTAGTGTCAGAAAAATTACATTTTATTTATTAAACTTTTTTTGTTAATAACTTTCTAATAAACAATGCGCGCCGACTAAAATCTTCAATATATTATTCAGAGTAATGATTTTGATAACATCTTTCAAAAATTATCGAAATCGGGAGTGGCTTCCTTTTTCTGCATAATTACCGAACCAATCGACCATTTCGCTCTTAAAGACGAACTGTAAATCGATTGGATATCCTATCAAAATGGCGTAGCCAATCGCGTTCGCTGTCTCTCCCTTTCGATTTATTCGACACGCGCATCAGTTGTGTTTCTTGAGTCTATGGACAATAAATATAGCACCGAATACTGCGTACTTTTGTGGTCGATTCGTGCAATCGTAAATCAAACAAAGTTTTTGTCGAGAATACAAGTTACACGGTGAAAGAGTACGTTATTTTCGAATAGAAGGTTGAAGTACGGAGTACATGTGGGTCGTGATTGTCGAGATATCACGTGTAACTGGCTCTAAATAGTATCACTGAGACGCTAATTGTTTTTTCGGCATTTTCGACACATTTTCTCTTAGGTAAGAGACTCTACCTCAACAGAGTACGAAGATCCGTGTGACGTAGTCGTCGAGATAAGGCAAGAATGTCTGATTTATTAGTATCTTGGAAGTTCTTCATCGTCTTGTTTTTTGTTTAGTTTTCATAAAATATATTAACGCATATAGTGCACACACGTCGGACGATTTATTTTATCTTGTCTCAATTTTATTTATTTTAATTGTTATTATAAGATATATTTAAGTAGGTTTTAAAAATTTATTTATTTATTTATATTTTTTTTAGCCACAATTAGTCGGAAAAATTTGTATTTTTAACCATGTATTGTGTGCGAAATCATGTGGATATATATTTATTTGTACATCATACATGAAATTTTACACGAATATATTACATCAGTCAAAAAGTAAAGACTTTTTTGTTTGTGGTTTTTTCTCTCTCTTCTTTTTTTGCTTTTGTCCCTTTACTTCTTGATTGATATATGTTTGCTTTGTCATGTTTGAAAATCATATTTCACGTTTGAGATTAAAACTGAGATAGACTCGATGATTATAAAATAGAAAATAAATAAACTAAATGTTGATTTAAATAAATCACTTGTTTGTATAACAAATAATGTAGAACAAAATTGGCATATAATCACAACACACATTCTTGAATTCTATATTTTTTCTGTTTCATTGACACTTAGTTTATTTAATTATATTTTATATATATATTTTCCTTTTTAATTCATGTAATATGTATTCTTTTTGACACTGTATTCGTCTTGTCGATATCGCAATAAATACAGAAAAATGTTTGCGAATAATACGATAATCTCTTTAAACTCTCTGGACCTTGTAAGATGATTGTGGCATTTAATTTTGATAATTTTAGTGGGATAATATCCATGATTGACATACTGCATCAAAACATTTTTATACACAAGTCTAACTTGTTTATGTGAATATTACGTGTTACATGTGTATCCATAGGATGTCATATATTACAGATTGTCTTAGCTGACTATGCCATACATTTTAGTACGTGGTAACCTAGCGTCATATAGTCATAAATATCCCTGGAGGGTTCTTGTGTCAGGGCTTAAAGGTACGAACTCCCGCATACTCGCCGTCATACAAATGCACATGTTACATTTCCCTCTTTTTAAATTTTGCCATAATTAAGCGATATGTTCAGCGACTTGTCATAGTTGAAAATTTTTTACATTACATTTTTCTAAAAGTTATATGCTAGTAATAATACAAATAACGTCAAAAGCTAACAAATATTTAACATACATTTAGGGATTAGATTGATGTACCTTGAAAATTATAGATAATATTTTGTGTGTAATTAAGAATATTGCAAATAGGTATAATATAATAACGAATCAAGTTTAGAGGTGCAAATAATATTCAATTATGTTATAGCGGCTGACATAGAGCAGTTGAGTCGCTTTACATCTATCGGTTATTGCGACGATTCGACGATAGTATATTTGCAACATCCTTGCATAATATTGAGTGCTTTAGAGGTACTTGGTTACAAAGTCATCGCATCTTCCAGTACTAGCATTAAGCAGGATTATAATGAGTACATGTGGACTATGAGAAAAGAATTTACAGAACCTGAACCTGATATTGCTGTAAAGGCTGGTATGGTTCGAAATTAGTATAACGCAGCTTTAAGAGCAACCCAAGAGCACATCGCATAGCATAGTTGCAACATTTATTACGCACAATCGCATTCTAATGCTTCTGTGAAAAGTAATGTCTATCGACACGCTTCATCAGAAAACACATATGTTTTCATTGAAAGTTTATAAAACTCCAGTGCTATCACTTGTATATATTGTACATTATATGTGCTTATACTCGTGCGCTAATCGCATTTCCAATAGAAGAAAATTTTTTTATGTGTAAAAATTCTTATTATTATAGTAAAAATTATCTACAGTACTTTAAAAGAAGAGAGAAATATTAATTAGAAAAAAAATTAATAGAAACAAGTTCTATCTTCAATCTGTTTTCTATTGGAAATACGATACACTGCATCAATATATCAGCTTCAACATTTCATTTGATCAGAAATGCACCATTTATCTTGAAAGTGGCTTTAGTCAAATTGTTTTAAAATCTTCTCAAAACAAGTACATATTTTATATAATGATCATTGAATTTATATAAAGTAAATGTGCTTTATATTAAAAGAAAAGGAAAAAAAAACAAAGATTCTAAGTTTTTTATATATTATTTGAGATACAATATTTCAGAGAGAAACTTTATTTTATACAAAATTTATTATACATAAAATTTATGTGAATATTTCCTTATCGAAAAATAGAAATTTTGAAGCTGCATATATTTTGAAAGTAAAACTGGAAAGCTACTCGTATCTTTTTATATCGATTGTAATGAGAGTTCAAGGGTTGAGAGATGGAGGTGTTCTCTTGTTGCTGGAATCGTTTCAAAAGTATCACGAACAAAAAAAGATTTGGTAAAATAACAAAAGCACCGCATAAACGCAGCTTTTTGAACTTTCGATCGAGAAATTTCGTCAAGAGATTGCTTCGTGAATGGGGTGATGTTTGTACCACTTTCGTGATAAACGGCTTCGATCGTCACTCACGTGCGTCACGTTTGCTTTTCTTCTAGAAGTAAAGCACAACGAGGTATAACGATACTTTTAGCGCGGCAATGGCAACCACGTCCAACGTCACGTCTAAAAAGGACGGCGCCGACGAGGACGACGACACTTTCTATTACGTCGGTGTAAAGGCGTCCCCGTTCGCGGCCGATTGCGCTGTGTTTGGTTTGCCCTCGAAAGAGACATCGGCCCTACGCAGCCGCTTCCCGCTGTCCCCAAGTAGTACAAATATCGTGAATGGAATTATGCTCAAAGGTTAATATTAACCTTCCCTTCCAAGAAATTTTCAAATGTTAACAGATGTTGCACGGGTCGCTCCTCAGAGTCCCAAAACAGATCCTTCGAACTATGACATCTAGTCATTTTATAAAAATACGAATTAATCGCGAGATAAGTACACAAAGATTATTACAATAAAAACGAGTAATATGAGTGAAGAAAAATCCTTTTAAAGACGTCCAGTTTAGGCCAAATATATCGGAGAAATTAAATTTCGGAGCTTTATCCGTAAAACACTCTGTATATATAACAAATATAATCATTAATAATTTATCTTAACTTATTTGGCTAACTCTAATATTACGATATTTAATAATTCTTAAAAGTTTCATTAATTTAATAGAAATAAGATTTCATTGTTGTATTAATAGTATAATAATTACTTATGAAAAATTTGAACAAATTTATAATATTATTACTTAAATTTTGAAATATTAATATTAATTTTTTTATCATACATCTTTTAGGAATTTACGTTACCAAATTGATTTCAGGAACACCGTTCTCCGTCATAAACGCTCTAGCCGAGCTCGGCTATCGAGTTATTTGTAGTACCGGAGAGGCCGAGATACTTTGGACATTGCAGCGGGAATGTTAATGATATAAAAAAAACTGGGTCTTATTATATATATATATAAACGTATTATATATCTAAATGCATTTACTTACGATCTATATACACACATACATATATATCTGTATAAGATATATATACGTATATCTGTGTTTTTATGAATCAAACTACAACATTTGGTGAACGAGATCTGTAATGTTATCTTCTTTCTGCATTTTTTTTTATATATCTTGTATTTTTGACGTTTGTCTACATCTAATCGCGTTTTGACGAAATTTTCATGATAGTAATTGAAAGCATATAATATTGTGTCGACCGTCTAAAAAGGCTTTATCCTATCGAATATCTTTTCAAGATATTTGATTGCTATATATGTACTTCGCAAAGTTGGATGGTACATATATAAGATGCAGCTTGTCATTAAAATAGAATACGTATAGTATTTCACTTGACCTGAAAATGGAAACTTACATGTTACTCATTGCTGTAAACGATAACACGAAAATCTTTCTCGCATGTTATCGGATATGACATTTTATATGTATATCTCAGCAATGTCGCGAGTTTCTTTTTACGGTTTCGAAAATGACACGATAAAATTGTATAATCATAATAAGACTGTCCGGGAAGGAGGGTGGGGGGTATAATTCCGAAGCGTGAACCATTTAAACATTCCTGCACCGTATATTGCAGATAATAATTTACCAGCAGAGAGGGAAAATTTTATCGGGGTAAAGGTAAAGCAACGCGTGTTGGCACACATTATATATATATATATATAATTAGTAGAAGTATTGTATTTTGTGATATCTTTTTACCTCGTTGCGTGGAAAATGGGTTTTTTTACGCTTTATTGAGAGTTAGGAGACGAGAGTTTCATATAATCCAGGCAATGATCTAAATTGGCGCAATATAGGTTGCTCCAAACTGGTCCATATCGTCTTTGAACAACGTTTATCATTTTGTGGGGAATGAAATTTTATTATATGTACAAATAAGAATTTATATAATATCTTTATATATGGTAACGCACACACACATATAGCATTAATATAACACTTTCTTCTACCATGTGTATTGTATTTTTGGTAGTTTATCGTACAGTTATTATATGTGCGAGATATCGTTTGGATCGAACACGGTCCAGAGAGTTTAAACGTAAAACTGTCATTTGATATAGTGTTTATGGCGATGTTTACTCTTACTTGTATATTTACGTGTTTGTCAATCCTACTGCAAATGATGTGCGTCAATCTAAAAAATTATTGCGATTGATATTTCCTGTATTTACATTAAACCAAATCAAATAAAATTATATAGAAGAATCATTATTTTATATAGTTTAACAGTTATATATATTATAAAATTTATATGTAAGAAAATCAAAAATGATATTGTCGATGATGTTAACGATATAGTTCTTAGTTACAATTTGATATGAGTGCAATTTATAAAACTAAAATTCGCGGATATGGTGAATTTTATATTTATGTAAATTAATAATCTCGCGCATGAACAGAGCCTTAAACTGTTTTGTACGACACAGTCGAGGTATATGCGCAGCTTATAATAGAACGTTGTACACAATTATTTACATATACAAGAAATATCGATAAATTCATGTGTTATATATTTTTTTATGCGACAAAAATCTTCTCTTGAGAACGCAAAAGTAAAATCCCTTTTTTTTTTTTTTTCATACGGACATAATAGCTAAAAGGCTTATGTCAAACTTATATAATAAAATCCTAATGATTATTTGCAGATATAATAAATAATGGCGCATTCTCACAATGATAATACTCATGCATGCCAAAGCAACAAATATGCTGTTTGTCAGACTTTAGATGAGATGGTATTCGAACGTGGACTCTGGAAGGCAGGTAAATAAATGTGAAAGCTTCTATTCACGATATGGATATTTACTCAAAATAATGTAAGAGATGGTAAATGCGTAATGAAGCGTTAGAAAATAGATCGTCAATGAATGGATTAGGTTTGTTCAGATTTGGCTGTGCGTTTATTATAAGTTCCAATATCGGATTTGTGTCAATAGAGAATTAAATGGATTTTATTTTTATATGTAATGAGGACAATTCTCTCTCTCGGGAAAGGATAGAGAATTTATCTTTGAACAAATAATAGATAATTTATATAAACGCGATTATTAAAAGGAAGCTATAAAGATTTATGTGCAATATTCATATATACTGAAAACAAATAATAGAGAAAAAAATGAGATGATTTTATATTGCTCTTACGCTTTTTATTTCTTCTATAATTTTTTATCGAGGTGGAGGATTTACACAGAAATTACATATGGTCTCTTTCCGAGTTAACGAAAAGTGAACACAGCGTTACTTTCTGCGAATTAAACTTTGGACTAGAATAACTAATAGAACATAATTTGACATTCAAAGCGGACTTTGATAGAATTTTAATTCGAGATTGAGTTGTATCAAGCTACCTACATTGTTGAAAATGATCAAAAACGTATATCTAAATTTTGATTTTAAATTTAATAGGAAGCGATGCCTATTTTTCGTCGAGGCAGTTTTACACACAAGTGTTTACACGTGGAAAAAAACACATGGAAAAAAAAAAGTACAGTGAGGCGATCGTGAAATTATATAAACTAAAACGCGTTTTTCTTGTCGCATTTTTTCAGCGTTGGATGGTGATATAGAACGCGTGGAGATGTTATTGGGCAGGGGCCACGACCCCAGGGCGGAAGACGCCGGCGGCTACACTCCCCTGCATTATGCCGCTCGAAACGGTCATTTCCACGTGTGCGAGCTCCTATTGAAACACGGCGCGGACGTGAACGCGACTACCCCCTCTATTAAGGCGACACCTCTGCACCGTGCTGCTACTCAGGGTCATGCTGAAACCGTCGAAACGTTGCTGCGACACGGTGCGAACGCCAATCTCAAGGACACGGACGGCAAGACGGCCCTACACCGGGCGATCTCGAGCCATGCCAGCTCCATGGAAACTCTTCAAGACAGCTCGTTATCGAACACTTGCATGTTACTGCTACCGCATACCGATCTTAATATCAAAGATAACACCGGACAAAATACAAAGGAATTAATATCTGAAACGTATAACGAGACGTTAAACAAATTGGGACCAGAAGCTGCGAAGTTAATGAAAGATTCGTTGTTAGGAAAGACGTCCGACGTAGATATGGATAAAAAAGCATTAGAAGAAAAAAAAGCATTAGAAGATAAAAAAGCATTAGAAGATAAAAAAGTAATAGAAGATTTTGAGAGGACAAAGATAACAGATCGTGTAAAAGAAGAGATAAATGAAACGATAAAACGAAAGAGGGAGGAAATAGAAAAATTTCTTAGTGAACAAAAAAAAACAGAAACCAAAATTTAACGGAATACTTGCACATTTCGTTTTTGTTCGTATAGTTTTCGTTTTTGCATAATAATGAGAGAGAAAGAGAGAGAATATATATATTGGCGTAATATATATTGATAATTTGGTAAAACGTAAATCTCTTTTTTGATATTTGTACATAAGCAGAAATGTATGACAATTTCATGTAAACTAAAAGACTGGTAGTATATTAGCATTCAAAAATTTAAGAAGGTAGGAAATCTACCTACGACTTTCTCTAGCGAGCATTCGAATTTTATAACAATAACATAAGGATTAATAAAACATCGATATATTCAAAGAAAAAAAAAAAAAAAAAAAAAAAAAAAAAAAAAAAAAAAAAAAAAAAAAAAAAAAAAAAAAAAAAAAAAAAAAAAAAAAAAAAAAAAAAAAAAGAATCTAGTAACTCAAAACGATACCAATCAAAAAATAAACAAGCAGGACTACAATTTTCGTAGAGATGCGTATCGACGAAAACAAATCCGAGGATATGATGAACGGCTCTATAATCCAAATAATCCGATGATCTGTGCGACGTAACCGTAAAATAATCGTCTGCAAAGAGGGAGGAGAGGGGATCGGCAGAAGCGAGCGAGTGAAGTACGGTTAGTTTCTCCCCGGATGTTCGCTGGCCTCTTTCTCCGAGCGAGCGGCCTTGCCAGGAATGCGCATTTTCTGCCGGTTCTCCGTCTTCTTCGGCTTCGATTCGAATCTGCAATCGCGTCGTGAATTGACCACCCTTTCACCTGTCGTCGCGTCGTTCGCGATCCTCGTTACTCCCAACGAGTATGTTTTAAAGTCGATCGTCTTTTCTTTCTAGTAAATTCGAATAAATCGCGCGAGAGAGAAAAAAAATAAAAGAAACAAGGAGTATACAAGCCGCTAGCCTAAAAA